AGAGCATCTATTCAACCACTGAGAAATCCAGATATAAAGGAACTTGAGTGCGTCGGTGGCATAGTGGTTAGGATGCTCGCCAACCATGCACATGGTCCGGGTTTGATCCCCGGCCACAGACGCACTCCTTTACCTCGCTAGGCCAGAAATAATGCTGGTAAAGAGGAAAAGTTCGGCATGAAGCTAGCAAACCCATCCTGTAAAATAAAACACTGCTACAGAAACTTCAAGCCACTAGCTTGAAGCCCTATGTTCCACTTGGGAACGTGAAGGAAAACAAAGAAGAAGAAAGGAGCTTAAAAAAATCACTAGCCATAGGTCTACATGCTATAGAAACAGGCCACAAGATTGATTTTGGCAATATTGAAATAGTCCAGAAAAAGCATTTCAGGAATCACAAAGAACATCTAATATCAGAAGCACTTCATATCAAATTGAATCCGAATTGTCTGAATGGGAATGATGGACTAAAGCAGCATTTAATCTGGTTACAACACTGTCCTCCTAATCCATGAAATGACAAAGTTAGCACGAATGTGAAAGCCAATTTCATCATGTAAACATATGCTATTTTTTATTATTTTATACACTTATCAAATCCAACAGTCTACATTTGGTTTTTGTATACAATTGGTGGATGGTGGCTAGCAGTGGAATCCAGGATAACGCGCATTTCCTCCTATTTGGGACTCGTCAGCTGGATGTACCTGCATTTCTCAGTGAGTGATGATGTTCCCACCGAGGCTCGAACCTAGTGCCCATAGTTTCAAACGCCAAAGCGTTATCCACTAGACCACTTGGGCCATGAGTGGATAACGCTTTGGCGTTTGAAACTATGGGCACTAGGTTCGAGCCTCGGTGGGAACATCATCACTCACTGAGAAATGCAGGTACATCCAGCTGACGAGTCCCAAATAGGAGGAAATGCGCGTTATCCTGGATTCCACTGCTAGCCACCATCCACCAATTGTATACAAATAAAATCCCCAGACATCGTCGAAGCATCTGCACAAGAAGCCGACATGTCAATCTGCGACCGAGCACTTCGGTCCAATCAATCAACGGGAAAATCAAAAATTCAATTCAATACATTTGGTTTTGTTATCTTTACCAGTTGGCCAACTTGACATCACAAAAATAACCCCATGCTGAGGAAAAAAAATTAAGTTGTTATATATATATATATAAGTTGAGATTTTGTAAATTCTAGTTTAATAATACTTTGATAAAGCTATTAGCAGCAGCATTAAATGGCAAAACTCCAGTAAATACATCATCGTTTTGTTTTTCATTCATTGGGAAACACAAAAAAACCCTTAAATATAATGAATTTCATACACCGAATGCCTAAACTTTTTCAAACTTTTGAAAGTTAACTTAATTTGGATGTATATATAAACAAATGTCAAGTCATTCAGTGCTTCAGCATGGTTCAGAGAATTACCTTCGCCGTCACTAAAAGCATTTCTCATATTTGACTTCAGACTTTCATCAATAACTATCCTCTCTGCTTCAATGCTGAAGATCAGACCCCCAACCAGGAAGAATATGCAACTAGGAACTCTGTCAGGCAGTGAACTAACTAAGAACCTGTTACCCAACAAATATTTAGAACACAAAATAATTGAGCAAAGAATATCCTTTTCGATAAATTCTTCTTCTGGCTCTACAATTATTTACATGTTTATATACGTAGAATATTCTAGATTAGTAGTCTATAACGATACTAGTGCTTTTTTAAATAATATAATAATAAAGATATAGTAGGAAATAGAATATCAGCCAAAATTATGGAAATTTCACAAAAATTCAGGATCATACCAACCTAGATGGCCAAGGTAAGGACAATGTCTGAACTAACTTCTTTTGGATACATAAATTAAGCTTTTTATTGTGCATCCCAACAGCCAGCCTCAGCAATGTTTAGTAAACGAACTCTTAAGGCAAAATTGAGATTTATTGGTATGTGGTAAATGACTCTGAAGGCCTAGTTAACATCAATCTTGTGTTCTGTATCCACAAGATGAGATAGAATAGCTCTACGAATAGATTTTATTTGTCCTTCTCTCAACCACGCAAAATCCGACGAGAAACACGCCTAACTGCATGACTTATGTAACTGGCCCACTCCACAGGAGCAGTCAAATTTGTAAATACACATGGAAGAGATGAAATTAGGCAGTTTAACTTTTACTCCCGAACTCAAGAAAGGAGTGGTTTTGAAGACACAGAGTAATTCAGCAGTAGGGAATGCTCTTTTTACCTCATTTCTAAGGCGCTGTGTTAGTTTCTCGCTGGTGTTGTCCCCAAGGATCTGCATTTGTGAGATTAAGCCCTTTTTAGGAACTGTTGGTACCTTGGGCAGTTTTGTGCGTCCAAAAGAAGTTAGTTCAGACATTATTATTACTTTGGACATCTAGGTTTGAATGATCCTGAATTTTTGTGGAATTTTCTTAATTTTAGTTGATATTCTATTTCCTACTATATCTTTATTATTATATTATTACAAAAAACACTAGTATCGTTATTCACTACTAATCTCGAATATTCTATGTATATATTTGCGGAGCTTTCATCGTCTTTCTGGACGACATCTTTAGCGCAGTATTTAGGATAAAGTGAAATGATTTAAATCTCTTCATGAGTCTCCCGGTAACCATCTTTAGATATTTATTGACCGTTTTCTATTGATTGGGATTTTAAACTTCCTGATCACCCGATTTACTTCTTATAAGTTGGTATATTTCATCTATATTAACGTGTTTATTAGTGGCATTTTTCATTTGAGTACCAGGCTTCTAGGAGTTCTCTGACTGCACATTTGGAGTTTCCTCTGTTTAAGATTTTAACATTATCCCAATCAAATTGATGTCCTTAATCGTCTGTATGCATTGATACTAAAGAATTTATATCATGTCTTTTCACGGCTGATTTGTGTTCCTGGATTCTTATTCGAAGGGGACGCCCACTTTGGCCGATGTAATGTTTGTTACAGTTCACACAATTTATTTTGTAAATGGTGTTAATTTTATCTCCTTTTTCTATCGGATCTTTTGGTTTGCATAAGATAGAATTAAGCGATTCAGCTGGTTTGTGTGCTACATCTATATCAAACGGTTTCATTATTCTAGCCGTTATTTCAGAGATGTTTCTGATATATGTTAGGATGAATTGCTTTTTGGTCTTTGGTGATGGTTCTTTGTTGGTGCTTTCATTCGATTTTAAACATATTTTGATGAAATTTTTTGGATAACCATTCTTCTTGAACACCGTTTGTAAGTATCTTTCTTCCATTCTTTTCAACTCTGGTGTGCTACAATGTGTTTGAATTCTTCTAAACAATGTCTGCACACAGTTTCTTTTGTGAGTAATTGGATTGTTGCTAGTATAGTTGAGTATTTGATCTGTGTGCGTTGACTTTCTGTATACTTGTGTTTCTAAATTTCCTGTGTTGGTTCTCCTGATTAAGACATCTAAAAATGGGATTTTGTTATCTAACTCTTCTTCTCTTGTGAATTTGATGTCTTCAAATATGTTATTTAATAATTTATGGGTATATTCTAAATCATTTCTCTTAATTATTACAAATGTATCATCAACGTAACGTACCCAGATATATGTATATAAACATATGTATACAATTGTAGAGCCAGAAGAGAAAATTATCCCAAAGGATGTTCTTTGCTCAATCATTTTGTGTTTTATAGATGTCTGAATGAATATTTTCGCTATATTGAAACATTTAGAAGATGGAGATAGATCGAACATACTTTGAGGAGACTGTTAAGTGAAATCACCCACTAGACCTGGGACTTGAGTGGAACTCAGTTGGGAAACAACGAGTTGAACACAGTCAACTCGTCCAAAGTTCACCTGGAGATCAGAGCAACCATTGAGTCAGCTAAATTGAACTACAACGAACAGAATAAAATGGATATGTGCTGCCAAAGCCCTATAGTCTGCTTTGAACCTAAGGAAATAGTAACATTACATATTATATATGATGAATCTGGGAGATCATTCGAAGTGAATTTCACTGAACCGCCGAGAATAATTTTGAGCTATCTTAAAACAAGCAATAAAGGTTAATAAACTCGAATCGAACAAGCCTCTGCAATTTTTAAACCAGGTCTCTGTGTACAAAAGGAGATGGTCGTGATTCTAAATCTACCATGGTAATACGTCTTACTTATTATTCTACGTCTTATTATTATTATCATCATTATTATTATTCTTGATTCATTTAAAACTATCCTTTATCAGTAGGGTTATCTTAACTCTCTTCAACACTATTATTATTGTTATTATAACTATTACTATTAGTCTGTTTGCAATTCTCGTTATATTGTCGAATGACTAATTGTTTATCTGAGTGCTGTAATTGAAGCGTAATGCAATTTATCTTAATTTTGATCTCTCATACTCTCTCTCCCCTTATCTATTTGAGCATGACCTGTAAAACATTCGCACCCGTCTTTCTGCATGACTAATTCAATGTAGTTTGTTTACTTATCAATCTTATATCTCCCAATGTAATTTCAAAAGTATATATATCCATGTATGCAGAGTATTCAGCTGACGAGTTCTACCGAAATTTGACGAATTCATTAAATCCTGCTTTATTAACCTTTATTGCTTGTTTTAAATTCGTATCGGGAAATAAATGTTTTCATTTTGAGCTATCTGATTAACACTTTCTCATGCCATTGATTTTCAGAGTATAGAGCACCCTCGGCAGATAGTCTACACCTCTCTACGTAGCTGGTTCAAAATCAACAGTCAAAGTCTTCATGCACTGAAGTGATGTATTGGTTTGATCAACACTCCTCTCAAACTCTTTTCTTTCAACTCACTTCTATGTCAAGCAAGGGTTTAAATACTACAATGATCAAGTTCGGTTAATGATTTTACCGATTTATTCTACTATACTTTAATCAATTATATAATCAAAATAATCATAATTAATGTTTTCTATATTATATTAACAATACATAACTAACCATTAACTGAAACATTCCACGTCGTATTCTGTTCATTTCATCATTCCAATGATCCCAAGATGATTTGATCCAGTCATCAACTTCATTGAACCAATTATCATCAAAACCATGTTGACCATACGGCATAATAGAATCTGAATGCCTATTTCCATTGCTGCGAAAATTACTCTCTAAACCTTTGAAAAAATCTCTACGATGTTGTTCAAAGGTTCGAGTATCACGATTTACAGGGATAGCAATAGATCTATCTCTTGACATATTATTTAATGATCACTCCAAATAAAAAGTTATATAATTAATTGTAAATAAATAAATAAAATTAATAGTTAAAGTCAGAATAATCAAAACAGCTGGATGAATAGCTGTTAAATTTATTGTTCCATTTTAATCGAACTAACCATATGATTGGTGTTTAAGTTTTAGTTGGCATAGGTAATAACCAATCAGCGATTAGTAATATCACGTGATCAAATCAGTTAATTTATTGATTTACTAGCATTATTGTTTAAATGTACGCGTTGGATTGGATGGATTTTTGGTGAAGACAGAGTCTTTTTTTTGGAAAGACACTGCTGTGGTGATTGTGGGCGGTTTTACTTCGTTACATTTTTCGTTTTTACTTTTTTGGTTAGGTATAGGTACACACACAAAAGAGAAATTTGTAAAATTGGAGGAACAGAGGAATAAATAAATAAATTAGTATTCTAAAGCTTTGTCTTGGTTAAAATTAAAAATAATTAGATCAGATCAGAATAGAGTTCACCATGGTGTTTATAAAGATGACTAGTTGTGTTAGGAATTCTTCACATTCAAAGCTCACTAATTAACTATTTGAGGTGAAAGAATGTATTACTCATAGTCATACGATTCTAGGTTTATATGACTATGGTTTCAGTCCATTTTTATGCTTTTATTAGATAAATTCATTTATCAGTAGATAAGAATAGCAATGTTCAGTATTCTGAGGGAGGATAGATATTTACTTATCGCATTCAGTGGAGCTTACGCTATTAATATATGTGTAAAACTTTGGCACTGTGGTAGTAAGTAATTCCATATTAGTTTGCTTATTAGATGTATCACACAGTGAGTGAAACAGTATTATAATTCACCGGATGACAAGGTTTCGAACAAAATTTATGGCTATAGAGGCAGTCATAAACGAACTTATTTCTGACCAAGAACTCGAACTTAGGACAAAAGTTCCACTTGAGGACATAATGCTGGGAGTACAGCTATGCCTGACTTCCACAGTATTTAAATTCCAAGAGAAAATATACAAACAAAACTGAGGTAGTTGCCATGGGATCACCAATATCCCCGGTTGTAGCAGATATATTCATGAATAGGTGGGAAAACATAGCGACTGAAACGTTCACCGTCACCTCAAAAGTATGGTGGAGGTATGTAGATGACACATTCACTGTACTCAGAACACAAGATATAGATAGATTTTTTGAGCACATCAACTCGAAGGTAGAGGAAATTCAATTCAATTATGAATTGGAAAGTCAGGAAGGGGAACTTCCAATGTTAGATTGCAACGTAAAAAGGAAAGAAGATGAGAAGTTAAACACTAGTGTTTATTGGAAACCCACACATTCAAACAGACATTTGAACTTCTGATCATCGCATCCTATGTCAGTTAAAATAAGATTGGTGAAATGTTTAAGTGACAGAGCACAAAAACTAAGTAGTGCCAAGGAAAATCTAAGACAGGAAGTGAGAGATATAAGTGAAGCCTTGAAACTTAATAAGTGCCCCTATAAATTAGTCAGGAAATATGTAAGGAAACGTAAAAATAAAATAAATAATGATAGTAGCGATAGTGATAATAATAATAACGATGATAACAATAGTGATGATAATAATAATAATATTAATAACGACACCAACAATAAGAATCTAAATCATCAGCAGTAATTCCATACAAGGAAGGGACTCGGAAACCTTACGAAGAATTCTTAACAAGGCAAGAATAAAAGTGGCTGGCATTCAAACCAACCACAAACTCAATTAGAAACAAGCTTTGTAGGACAAAAGATCCTGTAGAACCAATTAAACAAAACATTTTAGTTTATCTAATACCCTACCTGTAATGATTGTCAGGTCAAATACATAGTCAAATCAGTAGAACAGGGGCAGTCAGACTAGGTGAACATAAAAACCTAGCAAAATCTGGATTGATTGACCCGAATGCGATGAAAAACCTAGAGACTAGTTTAGCTGTAGTGCTGCATTCAGTTACACACAACCACACAATAGGATGGGATAGGATGACAGTTTTAAAATGTAATCTAACAGCGGGTGGAGGGAGAGATTGATAACAGAAGCTTTGTTTATCGAATCAACTGCAAATACATGTAATAGGAATGATTCAACACCTGTCCCGACCGGCTATCTGGAAAATTCTACTACCCCAACGATGACAAATGGGGGAGAACAAAGAAAACTATAAAACTCAAGTTTCGAAGTCGTGTGATTATAATTGATGTGATTATGAACAGCAATGAATTGTTTTCGAAACGTCATCCAGTAGATAAGACTGTTGCACTCACTGTGTGATACATCTAATAAACAAACTAATATGAAGCTTATGCTATATATAGCCAATTGGTGTGAGTTAGAATTCGAGCGCCGGCGATTATACCTTATAACCTGAGACTCCTAAGTTTGATTCCCTATAGGATAATTGGTCTATACTACTGAAGAGTCACAAAGTAGGAAGAAACGGTGCTGTTCAGAAATCTCTGGTTTATGGTTTCACTTTATCTAGTGTCACTTGGTGGAACTTACTTGAAACTATTCAAATCCGTTCAGAGTAACTCGTTAAAATATCCAATGTATCCACTTCAATGGCAACCGTTAAGAAAAAATCTGGAACTGATTTCTTCGTAAAACAGTGAGTGTATTAGTGTTGCGCGATCACATACTTCAGCGGGCATTTGTTTCAGGTCGATCGCATAGAGCTGGAATGAACTATGTCTTTATGAAGACTTTGTCATCCATAAGTTGAGATATAGAGTGTTTTTCGGACTAATCTTCTCTAGCTGCCCCGTCTTCAAAACAGGAGGAAGTATAACTCTTTCTGATCGTCTGAGGGAGACACATTACTGCTTTTACACTCCCTGTTCACCAGCAATACGACTAGGCCCTGGAATACATAATATAGTGTAAAAGACTTACACTATGATGGTAAATGCTTTCAAGATAAACACTATCCAAGCTTATCACCGTGTCATGATAAGATCATTCTTTTTAGCTAAGATCAAGATAATGAAAATCAAATGATGCTCGAGAGTGGTCTTGCTTGTGTATGGGGGGCTAGGTGGATATTTATTGAGCCTACATCAGTGTTTAGACGGGTCATTGAATTCAGGTGTACTTCTGGTATTTTGTGAAGACAATTTTGTTGGAAATCCGCAACAAACTCCTTTGATTACGTCATGGACTTATTGTCATTTTCTTCAGGAAGTTGTTCAGATCGGTTAGACTAAGCTCATGTGTCATTTATGCTCAATTTCGCTTTTAGAGGTGCTTACTTTGAGGTGATTTACATTGTAAATTACACGTACTCTGTCTTATTACTTGGTTGCTTAGATTATGAACTGACTTCAGTTAGCAGACCGCTGAAAACCAGAGAGTACTCTACAGAGGTTTTATGCTAGTTCAAAAATCTCCAGCATTAATTACCTATCACCTCACTGGGGAATGATCCAGGAACCTTCGGATTACAAGGTTAGCCCTGTAACCATTCATCTGAGTAGCTAAAATAGTTGTGTCACCCCTTCCCCAATATTATTAATTATTATTTCCTTTCTTGAGATCCAAATGGAATAAATGGCTTCAGAAGCACATCTTCATAGTACTGGGTTCTCTTGGTGGAAATCTTTAGCCGAAAGGACGATTGTCCTCCATATGAAGAAATTAAGAAGCCTGTAGATACAACAATGAATAAGGTTAAGAAATCTACAGCGGAATTAATACGCAGAATGAAGCCGTCACTGGGTGAGTCTAAATGGTTTAATTTAACACCTACAATGTATGGTACTATTAAAAAACATCAGGACACGACGATTGCCTATAAGCTTTAATTACCTGTTCACATGATCTCTTTCATGTTACCCTTCAGGTGTCCAACTCGTTGCTTCCCGTTCGGAATCCACTCAACGCCATGAAATGTGGTATCGTTTGAGTTTATTCTTGGTATATCTCCAATCGGTCTTCATTTCCTTTTTCATATTTGTTGGGTAAAAGTTCCCAAGATGTTTCGTTGTCTGACAGACATTCATGCTACTTTTTCTTTTGCAGTAGGCATCTGGTGTTCATTATCAAACAAAGGCGGTAGTTACTGATGAAAGTCTTCAGTAGCCTGTGGAAAATGCTTTCTTTTACTCTCAGGTCAAGTCTTTCAACCATATAGTAGAAACATCAACTAACTTGATATTAGTGATGAAAATTAGGAGTTTTTTAAAAAACTTTTTGCTATATGTCGTAGATCTTCGTTCTGACTTCATAGCAATGAGAGTCTGTCATTGATTTCCTGACCCCATCCCATCCCATCGCGACATCCTCATCCATCAAGACTGTAGGTGAAACGATGCTGGCTATCCAGTTAAGTAAAGGAAGATGACCTCCCTTCCCATCAATAACAATTAATAAATTGTTGTTACCAGCTGGATTGGGTATCCTCACCGTCTCTCTCTTCGCTACCTATACTACTTATAAATAATACATAAAAATATAAAAAAGTATTTACTTCCTTTTCTACTCAGTTAACTACTTTTATCATGTTACTTTTGAATAAATAAAGTTTTAGTGTGTTTTTTTTGTTGGTGTTGGTTTTGACTGAATCAAATGAGATGCTCTCATGTGCTCTCATGTATAACTTAAGACCAACTAACTTACTATCATTTTGTCATACTGTTTCTTTTTTAAAATTCAAAATTTAAAATCATGTCTTTTGTATATATTTTTATCTATTTATTGATTTATTGATTTTTATTGACCACTTAGTCAGAATCCTATTATAAAATAGATGAATTGATTTACAGAATACATTAGGTAACAAAAACAAATCATGAAATCTGTAGATTATATTATAAGAGGAAAAATAATTATTAGTCCACAGGAAATAAAATGAAACAGAGAAACTAAAAGCAAAAAGGGAGTTTACGATAGAAGCTGGATCAAAACTTTTGATTGTATTTTTCCATTCCTTTTGTTATGTTCTGAGTGGAATATAGGATTTCAAGTTTCCAATATAGAAAAAAATCCCCAATTAGACATTTAGAAAACAGAAAGATTGAGCGAAGAAATTGACTGCCAAAAGTGCATAAGATTGATTTTTTCACCAATATACCGTTACTGGAGACA